TTTCTTTAGGCTTTCTAAGTTACCCATGTAACGAGCTTTTTGTCAATGACTCCCAAACCAGTTGGCTTTAGGGCATTAGGTGAAGAGACACCCCTTAAGAACATACTTACTTAAGTAACAAAGGCCACGAAACATTCGACTTCTCTTTCTTTTTCTTCTTTTTTTTTTTTTTTTTCTTTCAGCAATACAACACATTCTTCCCTAAGTTATTATTTGTCTTTTGATGTGAATACTAACATTTGTGATAAAAACACCTAGTTACTCAACAAGTCATAAACCATAAACTTAAAGTGCTTTGCATACTCATATTTCAAGTTGTTGTTTGACGTGAAAGTTGACATGGGTTTCATGCCTAACCTCCAATTACTAAGCAACTAGAAACATTGGAGTAGAAATTAACAAACTCTTTTGTAGTGGTTTCTTTTTCTTCTTTTTTTTCTTTTTTTTTTTTTGTGCTTTTTAGGTGCTACTAAGTCTTCTCTCTAAACTTCTCACTACAAATTTGTGCTCAAGTAGAATATAATACTCATGAACTTAAACTTCATCACAATGGTACTATTTTTCAGATTTTGTATCTCCTCTAAGATTTAAAGATTTAGAAGTTTTTGAATCTCCAACTCAAGAATATCCAACTCCTTGACACTAATTGGACCAACTCCTAAAAAAAAACCCTAATTTCTAAACAAAATGTAAGTCATGCAAATATGAATGTGGACTAATGGATACCTAAAAGTTTTTCACTCGCCCAAACTTAAATCAAACATTGTCCTCAATGTAAAATAAAAGTAAGATAAAAGAGAAACTTCTCAAGTTTTGCACTTGAAGACTTAAAATTTAAGTTCTAAAGTTAAGTTGTCTTCACTTAGAGGAGACTTCAAGCATGTGAATTTCCATAATCTTGTCCCCCCAAACTTGTTCAATGACCAAGGCAAAATCAAAGAACAACAATTGGTGCATTAACTTGGGCCATCAAAAGAGAAAAAAAAATAAAAAAATCTAAACTATTAAAATAAAAGACAAAGAAACAAAAATTACTTGAATTGAAGCCTAGGCTTCAGTTACTGAGTGAATTAACTTTCAAGATTAAAAAAAAAAAAACAAGTATACAATTAATAATATATAAATCAAATAAATAAATATTAACCATATTAGATGTAGAAAAGTAATACAGATGAATTGAGGCAGTGGAAAATTGGAGACACGCACCTTTGTTATTGTTAGAAAAAATATTAAATAGCAGAAGAATAAAAGAATTGTTTTGAGGCATGATTTCAAACTCAAAATTCTTTCAGAATTAGATGTAGAACTCTGACTTTGCATATGAATTTATAATACCTAAAAAGTCACTATTTGTAGAGATGTATCCCTCTAGAAAGACATCATTTCAGAGAAGTACTTTTTAACTGTCAAAAGTTATATTTGATTTTTAGACATATCTTTTCAAATTATAATTTAATAAAATAAAATAAAAAATTCAAAAATAATAAAATATTAAAGATATCTTGCGGTCAAGCCCCAAGTGCCAATCTTTTGACTATATATAAAGGGGTAAGGCCCAATTTCCTTGGACTTCACTTTACTTAATTATTTGTTGATAAAAAATAGGCATCTATAAACTCCTTTAAATTTCCATACTTTCTTAACTTGTAATCTTAAACATTTACAAATTATTCAACGGTTACTGTCACTGTTGAAGTTTTTCTCACTCACTAAAGAGGTAATCAATCTGATGAGCCTAAATTTCATACAATTATACATGGCTTTTTAGTCATTAATTGTAGTCTTTTATATTTTATTGGAATGATTTTATTTGGTTTTACATTACTTTTATCATTCTTTGTAGGTAAAGGGTAAAACTAAAGAAATTGAGAGCAAAAGGGCTGAAGTGACAAAAGTTGAAAACATCAAGTCTGATTCCATGATTTCCCCATTCAAAGACCAGAATTGAATTTTCTTCCTGCATACACGTGACACAACATTGTGGGCTTTATCTCATTGTGGAGATAAGATGGACTTTAAAAAAGAAGGGCACGCAGTTTTCGCAGGGGGGTTTGATATAAAAAGGGGATTTTTGGAGGCGGATGAGGAGAAGACTTCCGAGAGGGGATTTTAGAGGCAGCCGACAGAGAGCTTGGAAGGCGAGTTTGAGGCAGAGCTTGTGCGGATTCTGTGCGAGTGACGACAGAAGCAAAGGCAGCCATTGGGGACACTTCAATCGAAAACAAAGGGGACAAGCGCGACAGTGAAGGCTACAGATCTGAGTTCCACAAATTGGGTTTTTGCTCTTCTAAACTTATTTTTTCCTTTGTTTGGATATGGAATTGTGGTTCATCAATTT